TTGACAAAGGAGAATTAATAATAATAATAATAATAATAATTTATTTCTATAGCGCCTATAATCCAGCAAATGCTGCTCCATGGCGCTGTTGTACAATATGGCATATTACAAATCAACATGACATACATAGAAAAACAAACAAACAATGAAATTTCAAGACCGAAGATAACATTACAAGCAATAACATGCATTAAGAAAAATACTGTATAAATAGTTCAGTTTTTAGTTGTTTTTTAAAAGATAAAGGTAAATTATTCCATAGATATGGAGCAGCATATGAGAAGGCACAGCTATCTTGACAAGGTTAGATTGTCGAGAGCGTAGATTACGTTCAGGACGATACGGCTTAACAAGGTCTTTCAAATATTGAGGAGTATTTTCTGCATTTAATCTTGAATATGTCATTGTTAAAATTTTGAATTCAATTCTTTTATGTATGGGGAGCCAGTGTAAATTCTTTAAGACAGGAGTAATATGTTCGCGGAGCTTAGTTCTTGATACTATTCTGGCTGCTTTGTTCTGATTTTTTTTAAGTTAGCACAATTGGTCCTTAGAGATATTAGATAAAAGAGAATTACAATAATCTAATCTGGAAGTGACAAGAGAATTCACAAGCAACCTAGCGGTTTCACTATTGATCATGTTCCTAATTTTACCAATGTTATACAAATGAAAGTTAGTAGTTTTACAGATATAATTAATATGAGAGTCCATCGACAGATTGTTATCAAAAAATACACCAAGATTCCGAACAGATTGTGAGTATGACACGTTTGATTCGCCAATATTTACTGAATTCCTTGATGTGTTAGCCAAGTTTTTTCTAGTTCCCATTTTCAATAGTTCTGTCTTATCGTCATTTAGTTTTAAGAAATTATTCTTTATCCAGAGTCTTATCTGCTCCACACATTGTTCAAGTTTACCTAGCTGCTCACTCTCATTCAGTCGGTTAAAATATAAATATAACTGGGTGTCATCAGCGTATAAATGATATCCAAGATTACAGTTTCTTATTATGTGTCCAAGAGGTGATGAGCTGAGAATAGTAGAGGACCAAGAACTGATCCTTGTTGGACGCCAAACATGAGTACAATTATAAGTACATAATTCCCAATCGAAATTGCGATTTCCACAGTAAACTTTGCTATGTGTAGATTGCAAATGTAAAATCATCAAACGCTATATTTCTATTGAACTCATACATCGTGGAAAGAGAAAATTGAGAGTCTTGCAAGTAGTAGTAGATAGGACTTTTCAAAGCAACAGACAGTGGTGCTTATATGATCCTTTAGGTGATGGGAAAATCCTCACATGATACGTTCTGAAAGACATGCAGAAACTGCACAAGACAGAGCGCAAAAGACTGTTTGAACGGAACAAGGTGAATTAGTAATTAAAGACATTGAACTCTGTTTAAGCACGTCAAAATGATTGTGTTCTGAAGTCTTTATGTAATCGGGATTTTCTGATATTTTCCACGAATAGTGATAATGAGCTCGTCCCTTAATTCAAGACAGAGGCTCTCTCGGCAATACAAAAACTTCCCAAGAAATCACGAGTGGTGTAATCGGGATCACTAATATTTTTCCGCAAACGGAATGGAAAACTCGCCCATGTATTCAAGACAGAGGTCTGCAAAAATGTCCGAGAACTCCCGAATGTTGTAATCGGGATTAGTGATATTTTTCGCAATTAGATTAAAAAGCTCGCCCATGTATTCAAGACAGAGGTCCTTCCGAAAATATCCGAGAAAATCCGAATGATGCAATCGGGATTACCGTAAAATGAGAGAACCTCTGTCCACATTTTTTCTGTGATTGCCTAAAATATAGGATTTTCAGGGTAAATCGAATAAAAACCCCTTGTAGTTGGATGAAATATGCAGTAATTAAAATTTTTTACAACAATATTGGAATATTATATTTATCGGGATAAATTTTGGTTTAGGAAATATAATATAGCAGACGATTGAAGTCCTATTTGTTTATGGGGCGATTGACTCCCTGTTTATATTTTTATTATGTTTTCCTATTTGATATATTATTACGTATAAATGTAATGTGTTTTATCCCAAGTGCCAAGTCCATGGAAACAACACTTTTTACCCTTGTCTGGTTGGAAGAATATTGAAACCAATGAAAAAATTATTATTAATAAATACGTTTTTTCTATCAAAATTTTCAGTGTGCAATGTGGTACATTTTTAGGGTTGATGTCTTGAAGGAAACTGTGTTTTTTCCGAATATCTTTGGGTGGATAGAATAACTTATTTTGTTTAGAATTTTCAGTCTGTAATGTTGAACGATATTACAGGAAACTTTTGAAGAAAATTGTGGATTTTTGAGGTTTGAGAATTTTACATTTGAAATAAACAAACTCCCCTTCTATTGTCTGAGAAAGGTCGTTTGTTGGTATATCGAATTTTGTCTATTTTAGTAAGGTGGATTTGATTGTACGCTTCAAAACAGTACTGATAATTTGATAGAATGACTTTGCGTTGATAAATAAATATATAATTTTTCGTAAGAATCACACTTCCCTCTAAAATTTCAAAAGAAAAAGATGTCAAAATTTTGACTGAAAATTGTCTTCTATATAAACAAATTTCAAAATGATAATGTGTGCTTATGTTAACATATTTATAAACTCAAAGGCAATCTAATATTATCAGTTCTGTTTTAATCAAATTCACTTTAATGAATAGGCAGAATTCCACATACAAACAAACTTGATCAGTTCGTTCATTACATGTTATTGTTTGAGTAAAGTAAAAAGTTTTTTGAATTTTTCCCATTATTTTTATGAGAATTGGAATACAGCCTCAAAATCGTATTGATATTCCAATTCTCTTGAAAATATGGAAAAAATTCAAAAAACTTTTTAACTTGTTGTAAAATGACCCACATTCATGTGTGTTTACACCCTTTCTCCTTGAGTATATCATTTACTCCATACATGGATTGTTTTGGGGTTGATGAATTGTTGATTATAATT